AAGCAAAGCAAAGCCCAGGGTGGATCACAACGTCACCACACTCCGAGCACAAGTAAAGGCCACAAGGCCAGTTCACATGCAGTGCTAGATATAGTACAAGACAAGCAACACAGTGATCAAAACCTAGCAAGCAAGCAACAAGATATATATAAAGTACAGTACAAAGAATGTCAAGCAGTGAGCAAGTGAGGAAACGTGGACACAAGGCCTAAAGAAGTACAGTGCCGCTGATGATCACTAGGCGGGAGCGCCTTGGTGAAGATATCAGCAGTGTTGGCCTTCGAGTCCACGTACACAAGCCGAAGCTGACCGCGCTGCTGAAGCTCTCGAGCAAGAAAGTAGCGAAGAGCAATGTGCTTCGTCCTGTGCTCCAGTCTGTGCTCCTGACACAAGGCAAGAGCCGCCTTGTTGTCACCGTACAGAACTGGAGGAGAACTAGGCCGCTCTCCCAAGTCAGTCAGCAGGTAGGTGAGCCAGCGTAACTCCTGTGCAGCCATGGCTGTGGCGTAGATCTCAGCCTCACAACTAGAGCCGAGAACAGAGGAAGAGCGGGTGGACCGCCACGAGACAGAACCAGAGCCAAGGCTGAAGGTGTAACCCTGTGACGACCGCTGCGTAGCCAGGTCGTCCACCCAAGAAGCGTCCGAGTGACCAGTGAGGACAACTCTGTCGCGTCCTCCAAGCACCAGCCCCATGCCTGATGTACTGCACAAGTAACGCAGCACCCTCTTAGCAGCCTCCCAGTGCTCTCGCCTGTGTCTCCCAGGCGCAACGTAACGAGCAAGGATGCTAAGAGGGTACGCGAGGTCAGGTCGCGTGCAAGTCATCAGGTACATGAGGCAGCCTACAAGCTCTGGGTACGGGCCACTCGGCTCTACGGACTCGTCCGAAGGTGGAGCTGAGAGCGAGTGGCTGGTAGCCAGAGGTGTGGCCTGTGGTGAGGAGAACTGGAAGCCGAAGCGCTGAAGGACCTGCTGCACCATGTGTGACTGAGTCAGGGTGATGGTGCGGCGAGCTCTGTCCCGGGTGATCTGCAAGCCAAGGTAGCTACGCAGTTCACCCAGGTCAGTGCAGGTGTGTCTCTTCTGCAGCTCCGACTTCACACGAGCGAGTGCCTCAGTGTCAGCAGTAGCAAAGACCAAGTCGTCGACGTACACGAGAATGTAGAACGGCGGCAGCGACGTGTCTGTGCGCAGAAACAGCGACGGGTCAGCAGTAGACGGCGCGAACCCAAGAGCCGCAAGAGTAGTCCTCAGTGTGTCGTGCCACTCACGTGGCGCCTGGCGGAGACCGTAGACTGGCCGGCGGAGACTCCACTGGGTACCAGGGGGAAACGACCCAGTAAAGCCAGGTGGGCGGCGCAGCCAGATCTCCTCGTGCAGGCTGCCCTGCAGGAACGCTGTGCTGAAGTCAAGAGAGTGAAGCTCGTAGTCACGCTGAGCAGCAACGTGCAGCAGAACCCGAAGAGTGGTCATCTTCGGGGTGGGGGAGAAGGTCTGGAAGAAGTCGACCCCCTGACGCTGACTGAAGCCTCTAGCAACGTAACGAGCCTTGAAGACAGGCGGAGAACCTGGCGGCCGCTTCACCCTGAAAATCCACATGCCATCGACGATGTTCGCCCCAGGAGGGGGAACCTCGTCGACGTAGGTGCCTGTGGACTTCCAGGATGCCATCTCTGCGTCCATGGCTGTCTGCCACTGAGAGGAGTAGGGACCCGAGATCGCCTCTGCGTAAGTGCGCGGAGTGGGGATGTCTAGTGCATCCGGGTCTCCCTCAGGGGCAAGCAACCAGGCCACGAGATGAGGTACAGCAGCCGCAAGAGAGTCAAAGTCCTCCTGCCTGTCCTCAAGGACGTCCGTGCCAAGAGCACACTCACCCCCGACGGACGGAGGACAGACAGACGCAGACTCAGGCTCAGCAACAAGGCTAGCAGCGTAGTCTAGACGACAGGCAGCAGCAAAGTCAACCAACTCAGCGACCAGAGCAGACGCAGCCGAGGACTCAAAGGTAGGGTCAGTGACAACAGTAGCTAGGAGACGCGTGACTGTAGGGTGCTCAGCGCGATACCGGTCAGACTCAGGGTCCGGAACGTCAAGCAAAGAGGACGCAGGAGGAGACGGCAGAGGGACACGCCGAGGAGCAGTAGAGGGACGCAGAGTCATGTAGTGAGTGCCTGGGACAGGAGGAGGACGCTCACGACGGACATGACTACCAGTGCGAGCAGGACGAACAGGCGACGCAGGACGAGACTCAGGCTCACGACGCTCTGTAAGACCTCCTGTGGGACCAGTGTAAGGAGAGGGAGCAGGGAGAGGCGAGGCAGGCGGTAACTGTGACTACGGCTGGACAGGCGGAGGACACTCTACGGAGGGAGGAGGACAAGGAGGAGGAGCCTGCCCAAGAACCTGCTGAAGGAGCGGTACGAAGTACGGTCGCGGCCGCGCAGCGTCTCCAGAAGCAGAAGAGACTCCAGCGGCCGGGTCCGCAGGACCAGCAGGAGCTCCAACGTCCGGGTCCCCAGCACCAGCAGCAGCGCCACCGCTCAGGTCCTCAGCTCCAGCAGCAGCTCCACCAGGCGGGTCCGCAGCACCAGCAGCAGCGCCACCCCCAGAGTCGGCAGCTCCAACTCCGCTAGCACCGCCAGCGCCAGAGTCCCCAGCTCCAGCAGCTCCAGTCGCAGTGCTCCCAGAACAACCAGTCCCGGCAGCTCCAGTACCCCCAGTACGAGCACCCCCAGGACGAGCAGCCCCAGCACCCCCAACTCCAGCCGAGCCACTAGGACGGCGAAAGCGCCGGACGTACCAGTCACGAAGCTGCTGCGGTGTGAGAGACTGCTCAGCACCCCGAACCGGAGCACCCCCAGACGCAGTAACCCGAGGCTCCGTAGGCTCAGTAGCAGCACCCCCAGGCTCCGCACTCGCAGGCTCAGCACCCCCAGACTCAGCACCCCCAGACTCCGCACACGCAGGCTCAGCACCCCCAGTCGCAGCACCCCCAGGCTCAGCACCCCCAGGCGGCAAACTCTCAGGCACAGTACCCTCAGCTCCAGCACCCGCAGTCCCAGCACTCCCAGGCCCAGCACCCGCAGGCTCAGCACCCCCAGGCTCAGCACTCCCAGCAGCACCACCTGCAGCAGCACCTGAGTCACCTGTGACCTCGACAGGCTCAGCGACGGGAGGAGGGTCTACCTGAGAGACACCTGAAGGAGCAGGACCCTGAGGGGGAAGGGGGTCTACCGGAGGGGGACCAGGAGCAAGGAACAGCGGCGGGGGAGGGAGGGGGGCAGTGCGGTAGGGGAAGAGACGGTAAAAAGGGACCGACTCGTCAAAGGTGACATCCTGAGAGGCGAAGACCCGGCGCGAGGTGGGGTGGTAAAACTGCCAGCCAGGCGCGTCAGGGACAAAGCCAAGGAAGACACAGGGAAGCGTGCGGGAGGAGAGCTTGTCCGCGGACGTATCGCGGACAAGGGCACGAGCACCCCACACCCGGAAGCGCGACGCATCGCCAACCTCCCCCGTCCAACGCAGTGTGGGCGAGGTCTCCGGCAAGGAGACACGGGGCCAGAGGTTGAGCTGATGCGCGGCGTACCGGACAGCAAACGGCCACAGAAAATGGGGAGCCGCCGCGTGGACCAAGGAGGTACGAGCGACCTCCATGACCAGGCCAATGCGGCGCTCAGCAACCCCATTCTGCTGTGGGGAGTCCGGAAGCGTGAAGGTCTGCTCGATGCCCTCCGCCTGACAGAAGGTCCTCAAGAGATCGGAGGAAAACTCACCACCTCTGTCAGAGTGCAGACGCAGGACAGGAAGGTCCGTCCGGAAACGGCGGCGGAGCTGGAGACGAACTGTGCGGATCCAAGGGATCAGAACAGCAGGGACCTCACCCTTGGTGCGCAAGGGGAAGACCGTGGTGTAACGCGAGTAGTCGTCGACAACCAGCAAAAAGTACCGCTCACCGCCCTGACCACGAACGCGGGCTGGGCCCCACACGTCCAGGTGGAGGGTCTGCAGAGGAGCCTCTGTCGGGGGGAACGAGGAGGAGTGAGGAGCGGCGCGCTGCCGCCCCTCGACGCAAGGAAGGCAAGGCGGCGCAGGCGAGGCAGGGAGGGGAGGGAGGGACCTGGGAAGACCAGACACAAGGCGGCGACGGTGCATGCCACGGAGGCGTGGCAAGGAGGGGTGACCCAGGCGGTGGTGCCAGAGAAGAGTCTGGTGCGACAGGGAACGACACTCACAGGCGTGGGCTACCAGACCTGACGCAGACACCTGACCGACAGCAGCGACCTGAGGAGACGCAGTGGTCAGTGTGTAGAGACTCGACCCCGGCCGACGGGTAAACGTAGCCAGGTGACGGCCGGTCCTGGAGCACGTAGCCAGGTGACGGCCGGTCCTGGAACACGCTGTCCTCCAGGGGTAAAGGTGTCAACCCACTGATCCTGGATGACAGCGTTGCTCACCAGGTTCGTCGAGAACGAGGGGAGGTGGAAACCCGACAACGAGCCAGACGGAACCGCCGGACAAGGGAGGACAGTGGTGGACTGGGCAAGGACTGGGCCCCCAGAGGGGTCAGCCAAGGAGACTGGGACCGGTGCAGGAAGCGGTGTGAGCTCAGTACTGTCACGAAAGAAGCAACGGGAAGCACCTGAGTCAAGGGTGAAGGTGTGACAGGCCTCAGCCGGTGTGGTACCTGAGAGAGCAGTCTCTGTGGGTGCTGTACCTGAGAGAGCAGACTCGAAACCAGCCGGGACAGCACTGGAGGGAGCAAGTACAGGGGGCACCATACCAGAGAGAGCAGACTCACTAGTACCTAGGGCAGCGGGCTCTATACCTGGGTCAGGCGGCACACACAAGTAACAGTCTCCCTCGGCACTAACAGTCAATGCATACATGGCAGCAATAATAGCATCATAGTCAAGAGCAAAGACATCAACACCAGCCCTCATGAGCTCAGCCCAGCGGGGGCGCTCAACATCCGCACCCATCTCCTCACGCCAAGCGTCGTCAAGGCGGGAGAAGCAGCGGTACGGGGTGTGGAACCTCCCACACGTCTGTCCCTTGCGGTCACCTGTGCGAATGACATAAGAACAGCGGCCACTGCCCCCCGACGTCCCACGCTGAGCAAGCCACTCACGAAGCTGCTGGGTCGTCTGGGGACGCTGCTGCTGCTGGGAGCTCTGGCCCGAGCCAGTGCCTCCACTCCGACCTCCGCCGCCACCACTACCACCGCTCCGACCGCCACCGCCACCACCGCCACCACCGCCACCGCCGCCACCGCCGCCACCGCCGCCACCGCCGCCGCCGCCACTACTGCCACTGCTTCCTCCGCCGCCCCCGCCTCCACCACCGACCCCACTCCCACCAGCGCTCCCGCCACCGCTCCCTCCAGCACCGCCTCCCCCCCCACCTCCCCCACCTCCTCCCCCCCCAGCGCCACCACCACCACCCTTGCCCCCCTTGCCCTTGCCGGTGCGGCGCCTCCCACCAGGAGCAGAAGCAGCGCCAACAGACTCAGCACCAAGGAAGTCAACAGCAGCAGCAGCAGCGTAGGAGGGAGCGAGGGGAGAGGGAGAACACCCCTCAAAGATGGGGGTGCGAGGAGCGCCACGAGCAGCACCGACAGCTACAATGCTCTTTTCGGCCGCGAGCAGCTGCTCCTCTAGGAGGGTGACTGTGAGCTCAGTGGGACAGCGAGCAAGGAAGTGGTCTCGAACTGAGCTGAGGGTGTCAGGGAGACGGGTGACTATGAAGTGGAGTGTCCAGTACAGTGGAGGGGGGTTCTTAGCGCAGAACTCGGTGGGAAGGGCGGCACGCAGGCGAGCATCACTAGTGCGAAGGTGGGTGATAAGATCGGCGACTGTAGCAAAGGTGGACAGATCGGGGAACAGGTACGGCAGCATGAGGCGGCTAAGCTCGGCTGTGGCAGGCGAGGAGTAGCGAGCAACGACAGCATCGTACAGGGCCTTAGCGGATTTGCAGTCGCCAAAATGCTCGAGCTCAGCTAGCGGCAGGTGACTGCGAATGGCTAGGCGAGCAGCTGCGTCACGAGTCTGCCAGTGGGAACGAACACTAAGCTCGGCTGTGGCAGCAGGAGCAGCGGCAGCACCAGACGCGTAGTCATAGAGGGAGATGTGGTCCGTGCTATTGCTCATAAGATACAACTGCAGGTCGTCGAGCCAGGAAGTAAACTGCACGGGACGGCCCTCAGCATCGAAGGAAAGAACGCGAATAGAGGCCATAGCTCAGGCGTGAGGGCACAGCAGAGCAGCGGCAGCAGCAGAGGGGACGCGCTAGAGCGAAGCTAGCAGCCACAGCAGGAGCAAGCGGCGGTGCACAGGCAGGGAGCAGCAGGCGAGGCGGGCGGCGCTGCAGGCGGGAAGTGCGGCGGGCGGGCTGCGAAGCGGGCAGTGGGGTGGGTGGGCGACGCGGCGAGCGGGCTGCGAAGCGGGCAGCGGGGCGGGCGGGCGACGCGGCGAGCGGGCAGCGCGGCGGGCGGCTGCGAAGCGGGCAGCGGGCGGGCGGGCGACGCTGCAAGCGGGCAGCGGGCGGGCGGGCGACGCTGCAAGCGGGCAGCGAGGCGGGCGGGCGACGCTGCAAGCGGGCAGCGGGCGGGCGGGCGACGCTGCGAGCGGGCAGCGAGCGAGCGGGCGACGCTGCGAAGCGGGCAGCGGGCGGGCGGGCGACACTGTCGAGATAGTAGGACGAAAGATAGAACAGAGAAGAGGGTTTGTACTAGCAGCATGCAAGGTACATATAGGAAACCCTAATTTGGGTTGTACTCGCTATAGAGTACCCCACTGCAGGCTAGACAATTACAACATTCTGACACACCCCCATAGCCAAAGTGGGGTGTAATCAGCACAAATAACCAGTCATAGATCAAGTCCACAAATGCAAGTAAAGCTAGAGGCAGTCACAGAGGGCAAGTGAGGAGGAGGAGAGACTGTGAGGGGCGATCTGCTGCAGGCGATGGGCGAAGCTGCAGACACAACGGGCAACAGGAGCGGCGCGCACAGTGGCTACCGAGCGCACGAGGGCACCGGACTACGGGAGTATCTGGCTTCGCGGCTACGACGAGCACACACAGGAGCAACTGACCCACAGCGAAGCAGGCTCGCTGGGCTACCGAGAGCACGACGGCTCCGGACTACAGGCGCTGCAGACGACACGACAGCGACCTCCACTCTCCCCCCCCTAACAGTCCCACACCCCCTTCTCACACACCCCTTGCTGCACCCCTAGATCCACTTCTCACGTCACCCCCCTAGCACCACTCCTTCGGCTCCCACACACCCACCCCCCTGAGCGGCAGCTGCAGCAGCGGGAGACGGAGGAGGAGGAGGAGTAGGGGACGGGGCACACAACCGGCACCCCCACAACTGCCACCCCCACACTCCTCACCCCCGAAACCCTAAAACGGGTGGGATAGGGGCAGGAGCGCGGGGGATGGTGAAGGGGGATGGCGCGCGACCCCCAGGGCGCCAGAACGGACGGGCTGGGCGGGTGGAGGGGGGTGGCGCGCGCTGCTCCCCAGGGCGCCGCGACGGACGGGCGGGGCGCTCGCGGGCTCCCCAGTGCGTCGCGACGGACGGGCGGGGCGCTCGCGGGCTCCCCAGGGCGTCGCGACGGACGGGCGGGGCGCTCGCGGGCTCCCCAGGGCGACGCGACGTGCAGGGTGGGGGCCGCGCGTGCTCCCCAGGGCGCCACGACGGACGGGCGGGGCGCGCGCGGGCTCCCCCACGGCAGGAAACCGCCGCGCGCGCTCGGGGCGCGCGGCGGGATGAAAATGTGAAGGTCGCGCGCCACGGGGCGCGCGACACAGAGTAGGGCAGCGGAAGCAGCAGTGGGGCCCACAGGCCAGGAGCGTGAACGCTCTGTTACCATGTCGAGATAGTAGAACGAAAGATAGAACAGAGAAGAGGGTTTGTACTAGCAGCATGCAAGGTACATATAGGAAACCCTAATTTGGGTTGTACTCGCTATAGAGTACCCCACTGCAGGCTAGACAATTACAACATTCTGACAGACACTGCGAGCGGGCAGCAAGCGGGCGGGCGACGCTGCGAAGCAGGTAGCGGGCGGGCGGGCGGGCGACGCTGCAAGCGGGCAGCGGGCGGGCGGGCGACGCTGCAAGCGGGCGGCTCGGCGGGCGGGCGACGCTGCGAGGGGCGCGCGAGGGCGCTAGCGAGGGGCGCGCGAGGGCGCTAGCAAGGGGCGCGTGAGGGCGCTAACGAGGGGCGCGCGAGGGCGCTAACGAGGGTGCGCGAGGGCGCTAACGAGGGGCGCGCGAGGGCGCTAACGAGGGGCGCGCGAGGGCGCTAACGAGGGCGCACGAGGGCGCTACGAGGCTAGGGCACGGGGTAGCGTGGTAACCGCATGCGAGCGGTGGTGGGCCCTTAAAAAAAACGGTCGGTAGGTCCTAGGGACCTCCTGCTCTGAATACCATCTCAGAATAACTAGCCAAGAATGAATGAACTAGCAGAAGTTTGGGTACAAATATGAAACCCTAGTTGGGGTTGTACCCCATATTGGCTACCCCACTACAGCCTACAAGCATAATACAGTTTAACAGCATTCGCTGATGTCGCCAAGTGGATTCAAAATTCCCACATATTGTTTCTAAATACTTATATGATACTTCCAATTCTTCAATCCTGCAAAGTTTTTACCGTTTGGTATGTAAAATTTTGCGCAATCTGGAAGAGTATTTCTTTCATGCAATCTCATGTGATCTTCACAATTTCATTGACAAAATGTGATATGTGTTTTCTATACGACTCTAGTCGGGTTTCAAACCCTAAATTGTGGGACACTTTAGCACAATCAAATGTTCACTTATTATATATATGAGAACACACTATTATTTTTCATAATTTAATATATATTTATGTATAAAAAAAATCATTTGCTTCTGTTGTTATTATTCAGCTTGGAAACTACTTCAATTATTGGATTGCAGAAATTATGACTGCATTTATATTTTGTAAAGAAATGGCTATCACCCAATTCTATCTAATACTATAATCGGTTGTTTTGGAGTGCAGAGATATAAGCAGTCGTAATTTCTAGTTGGGGTCATCATTACAAAGAAATATATGTCGAGTGAACTCATAAAGAGAAGCTTTTGTATCAAAATGCGAGGACAATCGAAGTTGAATGATTGGAATGTTTCACTCTATACACAAAAAAAGGTCGGGGGGGGGGGGGGGGGGGGGGGGGGGGGGGAACAGCAAACGACATCATGGAAGGCCTACAATTGTGTTTCGTCCTACACCAGCATGGGGTGTGAGAGTTGTTCAGCAAAGCAAATTCAAGATTTGAAGAAACAGATGAAAATTATTACATACACACCACAAACAACAAAAATCCAAATACAGTTCAGCTGTCAACAAATATCCAACCAGCACAAAATTGGGAAATTATAGGGCAGTCACAATTTTGCCCATTTTAGCACGTTTGGTCACAAGCGTATCACGAACAGTCATAGTACAATAGATTTATATCGCGGGCGATCATAGTGTCATCACGGATGGTCATTCTACGCCTTGAAAATCTATCACGTCTGGTCACTCGTTGAAACGATACATAGAAAGTTGAAACTACGCACGTCAGTACAGGGATTCAAAGAAAGTTGTCTCACGCGAGCCGTTTTGTCTGTAGTATTACGAAATAGTTTCGTGACAACCGTCGTTAACTCGTTAAAAACATCACAATTTCTCAGCAACATCGGCAATTTAGCTCATGTCGTAGCGTTACAATTCGATTGCCAGCTGTTCTATTGATTCATAATGACCCCAAGAATATCACTTTTAGACGAATGAAACTCGAAGGTTAATTTTTGTTTCCAAGACAAAAAAAAAAAACTTAAACCTATTCGGATGGGATCTAATTCAGGATGCATCAACCCTAAACACCTTGTCGATGGTGTTTAGGGTTGATGCCTCCCAAAGGGCATGCCATCCTACCGGGGTTTATTTTTTTCTTCAGTCCCCTAAATGTCAGGCTAGAATCATGCGCGAGGTAACAAACAATCAAGATTGGGATTCCCCAAAATCTCTATAGTTTTTTTTTCTGAAGTTTCAAATTAATTATGACCATTTTATCGAGTGACCAATCGTGATAGCTTTTTTGGACGAGGTGTGACCATCCGTGATAGCACTATGATCACCCGCGATAGAAATCTAATGTACTGTGAGTGTATGTGATACCCCCGTGACCAAATGTGATAAACGGGCAAAATTGTTACAGCTCGTATAATTTCCCCACAAATTTCCAAGTCAAGTTTATCACTGTGGCCCAGCCAACCTGCCAATTACAGTACAACCACACCTTCAAAAGTGACATGTGGCCGAGACAACATCCAGATTTACCAACCACATATTCAAGGTGACGTAACAGTTCGGATCAGCACAAATGTTTGGGTGGAAGAGATTGAGAGAAGGTGAGGGCCAATACGATGCAGGATTACACCAAACATTTGCCACCACACGATTCATCGCTACACAAGCTGTAGTGCAATGTACTGTACACTGTGCACGTACGCCATGCTGACCGTAAGGTACAGTAAGTCAAGTGCCTTGTTGTGAGGCTATCTGTTCCAACGCTGTATACGTGCCTCCAAATAGTGCCACCTCGGCTCCTCGCCTTGCCCGAAGAAATTGAAGTTACTGTACATCGGTTCGGAGGAGTTTCGAAGTTACGTACGAAATAACCGTTACGTGTACACTACTCTGCGGTTGCGGGTGCGGGTCGTAAGGGGGTGTCTGAAGTGAAACGTCGACGGACGCTACAATTTCGTCGGGGGATGGAGGCGAATTTCCACCCTCGGATCGAGAATTCCGACCGTCAAGATTCATCGACATTCCCTACAGTTTCGTCGGGGAGGTCGACGTTCACTTCAGACACCCAGTTCGCGATGGCAAAACGTGGAAGCAACTTGCTTGCAAAAGCACCTCGTGGGAAGAGATTGGCCGCACCTTGCCAATTCCCCGATTCACCGCGTCATTTTCACTGTGACCTTGTTGCCGAGCGCAGCACGGAGAATCGGGCGGGACCCCCGCCCCTAGAAATCCAAACCACCTGAAGGGGGAAGCGCGGGCCAAAGGCGGAAACAGCACTCGGATCCTCTGCTCTCTCCCGGATTCTGAATTTTTGGCGAAACTCCGTTTTTCCCGTGGCGACACGGATTGTACTCGGATTGAGCGCAAAAAGGGTCTAGACCTTCCAAAATCCAAACCACCTGATGGCGCAACGAAATGGGCGCAAGAGTGGTTACACTACCGGTTTAGATTATCGACGGTCGCACGACAGCGACGTCGCAACCACTGTTCTACAGTTGTTTGTGTATAAACTTTGTTGTTGACACTTTGAAGCAATTGTGTCAAGTTGAGAGTAAAAATGGCTAAGTCAAAATTCTGTATGGTTTGGCTCATAACTCCATATTTAGTGAATCATTTTCGCCCAAATCTAGATTTCCAGCATCCCCTTGATGTCCTCTACCAGCGGATGTGTGTTTGTTTTTTTTGGTAAAATTCATTCATTTGTTCACTTTTGGGTCAACTAAGGTTGTTCCTGGCATTTGCAAAGTCATTCTCTGGGCAGCACACACATGTGTCATGTGGTGTCTTTTTTTTTTTTTTTTGTTAGTGTTATGACACCTGTTCCAGCCACCCAGAACAATATCAGGCCAATGCAAACAGATTTGGTGTACTTTTCTTGCAAGAAAGCTAGTGATGAGTTGCCTGGACTGAGGTATCCAGGTGAAATGACCCACTTCTCCTGGGGCAAATGAGCACACTTTGATAGGGCACACTCATCACACCTATTAAAGTTCTCCCTTTCAAATTCACCTCATTTCCTTGAGGTTTGATATGTTTTTCATGCTTTTCTCTGCAGGCTGGTGCGGACTATCGTGCAGAATTGCCTGGACTCAGTTTTCAAGTGAAATGCCCCACTTCTCCTTGGCCAAACGAGGTGATTTTCATAGGGCACTCTCAAAACACCTATTCCAGACCCCCCTATCATTTTCGGATTTTTCCATGAAGGTTTGGTGGTGTTTTCATGCTTTCTTCTGCAGACGGGTGCAGAATTTTGTGCAGGAGTGCCTGGAATCAGGTTTCAGGTGAAATGACCCAATTCTCCTTGGGCAAATGAGCCCATTTTTATAGGGAACTCTCATCACACCTATTCCAGATCCCCCTCCAAAATTCATATCATTTCCTTGAGGTTTGATATGTTTTTCATGCTCTTCTCTGCAGGCTGACTGGTGCAGATTTCTATGTGGAACTGCCTGGAATCAGGTTTCAAGTGTAATGACCCCCTTCTCCTTAGGCAAATGAGCCCATTTTGATAGGGCACTCTCATCACACCTATACCAGATCCCCCTCTTAAGTTCACCTCATTTCCTTGAGGTTTGATATGTCTTTCATGCTCTTCTCTGCAGTCTGCTCCAGACGATTTTGTGCAGAATTCCCTGGAATGAGGTATTTAGTGAAATGCCCCACTTCTCCTTGGCCAAACGAGATGATTTTCATAGGGCACTCTCCACACACCTTTTCCAGACCCCCCTATCAATTTCAGATTTTTCCATGAAGGTTTGGTTGTGTTTTCATGCTTTCTTCTGCAGATGGGTGCAGAGTTTTGTGCAGAAGTGCCTGGAATCAGGTTTCAGGTGAAATGACCCACTTCTCCTTGGGCAAATGTGCCCATTTTTATAGGGAACTCTCATCACACCTATTCCAGATCCCCCTCCAAAATTCACCACATTTCCTTGAGGTTTGATATGTTTTTCATGCTCTTCTCTGCAGGCTGACTGGTGCAGATTTCTATGTGGAACTGCCTGGAATCAGGTTTCAAGTGTAATGACCCCCTTCTCCTTAGGCAAATGAGCCCATTTTGATAGGGCACTCTCATCACATCTATACCAGATCCCCCTCTTAAGTTCACCTCATTTCCTTGAGGTTTGATATGTCTTTCATGCTCTTCTCTGCAGTCTGCTCCAGACGATTTTGTGCAGAATTCCCTGGAATGAGGTATTTAGTGAAATGCCCCACTTCTCCTTGGCCAAACGAGGTGATTTTCATAGGGCACTCTCCACACACCTATTCCAGACCCCCCTATCAATTTCAGATTTTTCCATGAAGGTTTAGGGTGTGTTTTCATGCTCTCATCTGCACACGGGTGCAGAGTTATGTGAAGAATTGCAGTGAATCAGGTTTCAGGTGAAATGACCCACTTCTCCTTGGGCAAATGAGCCCATTTTGATAGGGCACTCTCACCACACCTAGTCCAGATCCCCTCATCATTTCCAATGTTTGTTGTGGATGTTTGGATGTGTTATCAGGCTTGCCTTTTCAGACGGGTGCAGATTCCTGAGTAGAAATGCCCGAATTGAGGCTTCTACTGTATTGAACTACATCCCGTTGGGAATTTGACGTGATATTCATAGGCCACTCTCATCACGCCTTTTACTGATTCCCCTATGAATTTCAGATTTGTTTTTGAAGGTCTGGGTGTAGTTCCATCCACTCCACTGCAATTGGGGGCTGATACTCTTGCTTAATTGCATCGAATTTGTTTATCAGCGTAATGATCCACTAATCCATTTGATTATGCGCCCATGTTGATAGTCCTCTCTCATCGCACCCATTGATCACCCCAAAACAACTTCCCCATTTTAGTGGTTGGGTGTTGGTGTGTTTTTCATGCCATTCACATGTGTACAACTGTTTATTTGGTTATTAAATCACAGACTGTACGTGTTCGTAGTAGAATACTATCGGGGCCCTGTGGGATGTGGTTTTTGACGCGTGTAACTGCTCGCAGCCGTATTGCACGAGGCGTTTCGGCGGGAACCATGCAGACGGGACAGCTATACGTGGCAGCCTATCATTAACCAGTCACACATCATCGCTCGTTTTTTTTTTCGGGGCTGCCCTTTTCCGTTTCGTGTGAGGTCGATGGCAAACACGAGCAAATGCATTGCTCAGCAGAACATGAGATATGCTTACATGGCAGATATGGTTGACGCTCGACCAATCATCACTGGACGTAGAACATTTTGGGATACATGCAGGCAACTATTAGGCCAATGCCTGCTTCGAAAAAGCACAGAAGTGGAAGCATAGATTCTTAGAGGAAAGGGGTCGTGGGCTAGTCCACAATTTAGGGGCAGAAAAGAGTTTCCACGAGGGGCGAACAGAGCAAACCTTCTCCAGCCTTCGGTCAGGACGATAGCTCATCCTGTTCTACCAGTCGTTCTGGGCTGTTAACAGAGTGCGTGGACCATCGAACAGGTTCATTGCTGCCATTCAAACCTAATTCTTCATTCCGCTAGTCACCTCTTCACAAGCTTTTCTCTCGTTCTAGCTCGTGCTCCGACCCCGCCGCGCTATTGCGCCTGGTTGTAACCGTGTAACGACTCTTGGTCTACGTCATAGTGGAGCGATGTCCGGCTTGTTAGTAACGGATGGCTGCGGATTGAGCGTAGGCCTAGGAAAGCAGTCCTACGAGATGTTATGCGCGTGGAGTGAGGAATGGAACGAGGCGATGTTACTATTCGGCCTTGTGTAAGTATACTAGCGCGGTTTCTGGTGCACGCCGACTTTATCGTTTCGGAGCATTGAGTTTCTTTTGATAGACACCGGCTATAGAATAACGACCACGACATTACGCTTGGATGCAGTGAGGTTGCCAAGGAGAAGATCCTGGATGCATGTGTGCGCAGAGACATCAAGATTTTGGCACCGAGCGAGCAACAACGTTTGAGGACTACGACCCCGCGGGTGCCTAGTTACGGCAGCGAACATCGGTCGCTGTTGGATTACCAGATGGTGTTACTCCCCATGATCACAGAGTGAGTATACTAATGAGACTCTCCTAAATCGGCTGCATACACCAGAAACCCTGGCTGATCCAACCTTTGATGTATTGCATAGTCCCTGTTGTTAACTCGAGGGCGATCAGTCTCATGGTGCTGCTGAACCCGCAAGATTTGTTAGCACATCCCCGCGGAGAGTACCGTACGCGTTTGCTACACTTCGACCCTAAATCTTCTATCCCAACCCATCGCCACACCGACTATGCCAAGGAGGTGTTCGAGTAAGTGTCACACCTTAATCAGTAGTGCGGTTTGTCAGGACGCATCTGATTTATTATATGAGACCCCACTGCCTTGCAGCTGGCTTATACGACAACATGATGTGGAATACAACCGAGGTCGCAGGGTCGGTGGCAGCCACGCCGAAGCGGTGCAGAGAGATTTGAGACATCGCCTTGAGGATTTGATACTGGAGGAGGGCAGGGTAAGGAGCCTCTATTTTTAGATTTAAGCGCTGTACGATATTCGGCAGTATAAATGTTTGGAGATTGTCTGACAACCACCTGTTCACGCACATGTTGCAGATCAACAAGGTTTAGGGACAGAGGCAAGTGGGATCCGGGCTGCACGTTACCCATCTGTTCAGCAAGATGCTCGACAAATGGGGAGATCTCATGGCGATTCAGAATGCAGAGCCGATGATGAAGTTAGGGAAGGGGAAAAATAGCGCGAAAGAAATCCGGAGTATGCTGGAGTCGACTTGCCGGGCCTGCTATGACCTGCAAGGAGTCCAGCTCCGTCCCGCCCCGGATATTGTCATGACGACCCACGAGGCTCGCGTGGAGGAAAGCGCACCGGAACCGTCCGAGAATATGATGGAGCGGGCGGCACAGAGAAGAGCAGAAGTGGTAGAGGGGCATAGAGACGTTCATGCTGGAAACCGGACCGCAAATCCAAGAGTGGAGGAAATATCATATTCCCGGCGACCTACTCCGGGGGGTGCTCTGCTGAGTGGCCCGATATCATGGACAGCCCGTGCGGACGAGCGTGTTAGCTCTGGGGCTAGGCAGCTCAGGTTTGCAGATCGGCTTAGGAGGCCTCCGGAACGCGTAGCACAGACGGAGACGGACTTGGCAAGTGTAGCAGATGAAGGCGAGGAGGGTGTAGAAGATCCACAGCCACCAAGTCAGGTGGAACAGGCAGACAAGTGGAGGAAGGCGGCTGATGATAAGCGGATGGTAGAAGCGGAAGCCAAAAGAAGACGGGTTGAAGAGAGGCAACGGCGCCGTGATGGCGCCACCGACTCTACCGTGCATTTCAGGGGAACTGAAGACATACGTCAAGCATGGGAGCGTGGGGCACGAGCCGCTGCAAGGGCACACGTGGGTGTGGAAGGAGTAAAGGAGCTCGCCAGCAATGTGCAGCAGCATACCGGGGAGGATACGGGTTACGTGAATGTTCGCTTGCCCAGCGTAAAGCGGAAAGCGGCTGAAGAGGCCCGGAGAGAGGACGTCGACGACCCAGAGTATTCGGGAGCGGCGCGCGGGAAGGCGCAGAGCAACGCGGGTGGAAAGGCTCATAAGGAAGCGGGGGCATCGCCGCAGATGATGTCGGATGCAGAGGCACTGCAAATGGTGGAGGCAGTGTCGCAGAAGGAATCAGAGGCAGCGGTGCAGCATGAGAATTAGGCAGCAGCGCCGAAAATGGCTGAATCAGAGGCGCAGAAGGAATCAGAGGCAGCGTCGCAGCAGAAGGATGTCGCAGCAGCGCCGAAAATGGCTGAGCCAGAGGCGCAGAAGGAATCAGAGGCAGCGGGGCAGCAGAATGATAAGGCAGCAGCGCCGAAAACGGCTGAGGCGGAGGCGCGGAAGGAATCAGAGGCAGCGTCGCAGCAGAAGGATGTCGCAGCAGCGCCGAAAATGGCTGAGCCAGAGGCGCAGAAGGAATCAGAGGCAGCGGGGCAGCAGAATGATAAGGCAGCAGCGCCGAAAACGGCTGAGGCGGAGGCGCGGAAGGAATCAGAGTCAGCGTCGCAGCAGAAGGATGTCGCAGCAGCGCCGAAAATGGCTGAGCCAGAGGCGCAGAAGGAATCAGAGGCAGCGGGGCAGCAGAATGATAAGGCAGCAGCGCCGAAAACGGCTGTGGCAGAGGCGCAGAAGGAATCAGAGGCAGCGTCGCAGCAGAAGGATGTCGCAGCAGCGCCGAAAATGGCTGAGCCAGAGGCGCAGAAGGAATCGGAGGCAGCGGGGCAGCAGAAGGATAAGGCAGCAGCGCCGAAAACGGCTGTGGCAGAGGCGCAGAAGGAATCAGAGGCAGCGTCGCAGCAAAAGGATGTCGCAGCAGCGCCGAAAATGGCTGAACCAGAGGCGCAGAAGGAATCGGAGGCAGCGGGGCAGCAGAAGGATAAGGCAGCAGCGCCGAAAACGGCTGAGGCAGAGGCGCAGAAGGAATCAGACGCAGCGGCGCAGCAGAAGGATAAGACAGCAGTGCCGAAAATGCCTGAATCAGAGGCGCAGAAGGAATCAGAGGCAGCGGCCCGGCAGAAGAATGTGGCAGAGGTGCCGAGGACAGTCTCGGAGGCAGAGGCGCTGAAAAAGGAGGCAGCGGATGCGGAGAATCTCATTGAGGCAGACGCGCGAGATAAGGCGGAGGCGGAGGCGCAAAACAGGGCGGGGGCAGCTGTACCCAAGGAGTTTGAGGCAGCTGCGCGGAAGATGGCAGGTAGAAACACACAAAAGAAGGCGGATGAAGAGGAGCGGAATAGGGCAGAAGCAGCGGCGCGGCAGAAGGCGGAAGCAGAGGAGCAAAAACAGGCTGTGGAAGAGGCGCAAAAACTGGCTCGGGCAGAAGCGCAGAAAAAGGCGGATGAAGAGGCGCGGCAGAATGCGGAGGGTGATGCGCAGACGATGGCAGAGGCCGAGGAGCAGAAGCAGGCTGATGGTGACGCACATAACAAGCCAGATGGAGAGGAGCGGGAAACGACGGCATCAGAACAGCATGAGAAGGCAGAGGGACAATCGCAGAAGGGTTCATATGGGCATAAAATGGTACAAGCAGAGGGACAGGATACGGCGGGTGCTGAGGAGCACATCATCGCAGAGGCAGAGGAGCAGCATAACGAGGAGGCGGTGTCGCAGGCATTCGCATACCGAGAGACGCATAGCATGGCAGAGACAGAGCGTCAAAATATACTATGGAGGAGGCTCGTGTGGTCCCGGAGGCTAGAGGGAGGCACCCAGAGGGAGACGCGCTGGAAACAGAAGAGGAGCAGGCTGAGGAGGATACGGTACATCCGGCAGTCCGGATGTTTTTGGGAGGAAGTCCGACGCGGGAGCCAGGAATTGGGGTAGAGGGGGCATGGAGGGTGGCAGATGATGGGGCGCCTAGGGATACAGTGGATCTCACAAGTCAGAGGCGGGCTGACCGAATGCGAAGCCTTCACCAGAGAGCAGAGGACAGCAATCTCGGGCAGGAAGGGGTGGCAGAAGCGTGGCAGGAGGTAGAGTGGGCCGAGGCAGAGGCGGCAATACGGCGGATGCTGCAGCGCACGACTACAGTCCTGGTTCAAAATGGTGACAGGTTTGTCGAGGGAGAAAGCTGGGACATAAGCCCAGCAGAGGTAACGCGTCGTCTGACGCTCTTAGCCCGAATGGTAACGCAGACGTTCTGCAACTTGGCGGCCCACAACAGCAGCATCAGTCGTGACGTGGCCGATCTGACAGTCCATTACTGCCGTGACGCCCTGGCCAACCTGGAAGAGGTCCGCCATGGAAACGAGGAACGCAGGCGCCAAGCAGAAACGGCGGCCAGGTTTCGCGAGCAGATGGACACGAGACTCTCCAACTTGCTGGAAAGTATACAAAGGGTGAGTGATCAGGTTCGCAAGTCGGGAGGGGGGATGCCGGAGAGCACATTAAAGGGGGTGGAAGAGAGGTTGAGAGAGGTTCTGAGAGAAGACTCAGAGCGGCGGAAGAGGGATAGACTGCAAGACGAGGAGCGGCGGCAGAAGGCCACAAGGAAGGAAGCAGATGCTGCAGAGAGACGGAAGAAGGAACAACAGCAGGAGGAAGAGCGTCGGCACAAGGAGATGAGAGAGGGAATGAAGGCGATGATGGAGGCGATGAAGAAGGAGATGAAGGCAGAAATGAAGGAGATTACGGATGGGATGGTAAAACAGATGGTGGAGAGGGTGCGCGAACATCTTCGAGAGGAAGCGGAACGGCAGGAGAAGGCGAGGCAGGAGGACGCGGAGCGGTGGAAACAGCAGGACGAGAAGAGGAAACAGGCAGATGACGTGGAGAGACAGAGGCAGAAGAAACAGCTGACCGAGGCAGCCCGGAAGGAGGAGGAGGAGAAGAGGATGGAAGCAGAGGCCACAGAGCGGCGGAGGAAGAAGAAACGGCTGGACGAAGACCGCCGGCAGAAGGAGATGGAGGCGGGAATGAAGGAGATGATGGAGGTTGTAAAGGAGATGAACTCGGGGATGAAAAAGTGGAAGGAGGGGATGCTAAGTGAGGTGGAAAAGCGGTTGTCAGAAGTTCTTAGAGTAGACGCAGAGCGGCGGAAAGCGGAGAAACATCAGGTGGAGAAACAGCGGCAAAAGGAGGAGCAGATTAGGAAGGCAGCGGAGGGAGAGCAGCGACAGAATGAGGAGGCGCAGAGGAAGGAGGCAGCGGAGGCCGAGGGGCAGGAAAGGGAGAAACAGGAGGAGATGGAGCGCCTGCAGAAGGAGGATGCGCAGAGGAAGGAGGCAGAGGAGGCCGAGCGGCAGAAGACGGAGAAACCGCAGGAGATGGAGCGCCTGCAGAAGGATGCGCAGAGGAAGGAGGCCGAGGAGGCCGAGCGGGATCAGAGAGAGAAACAGCCGGAGATGGAGCGGCTGCAGAAATTGGAGGCGCTGAGGAGAGAGGCAGAGGAGGCTGAGCGGCAGCAGAGGGAGAAACTGCAGGAGATAGAGCGACTGCAGAAAGAGGAGGCGCTGAGGAGAGAGGCAGAGGAGGCTGAGCGGCAGCAGAGGGAGAAACAGCAGGAGATGGAGCGCCAGCAGAAGGCGGAGGAGCGCCGAGCAGAGAAGAGGGCCAAACTTGCATCCTACGCGGAACAGCAGCGGCAACTAGAGGCCAAGGCAAAGGCTATGGCTGAAGAGACGGAACGTTTGGCACGGGAGATGGAAGAGGAGGATTCGACCATGGAGGGGGAGGGGACCGGGGAAGGAGTCGAGGAGGACATAGCACATGGCATGGATATGGTGCTGTTGGAAGTGAGCGGGGAGGCGAATGTAGCAGATGGCCTGGCTATTGTTCCCGGGCAGAACGTAGAAGTGTCCAGAAGGCGGCCTAGGCAGGAGGACAGGGAGCCGGAGGGTCATGCAGCTAAGAGACGGCGTGCAGCTGGTATACATGAGTTGATACCGATAACCCCTCCGAGGGGAAATTAAAGGGATGAAGATCGACAAGTGCGACAATAGGAGAAACGCCCAAGTGGACGACAAGGGTAAGACTTTGGGTGTCCGCCTACCTTTCAGGGGAAGCGGGTTCTCTCAACGGGGCGAGGGAGCATTGCAGAAATGGACGTCGGAGCAGACCGTCGGCGGCCGGAAGCGGAACCTCGGCTCTCACAAAACGGTGTGGGAGAGGGCTTACACGGTCGCAGTCTGTTGGAAGTTCTTCTTCCCGAACATTGACATGCAGGCATACGGAATGAATCCAAACCGTATAAACAAGTGGAGGGAAGATCTCGACTTCACCACATGGCTTCCAACAGGGGTGTGGAGCGTCCTCAACGAGCTCCACCTCGACAAACCGGACGGGTGAGTGGTCTGGTGATGGACAGTTGCAACTTCAGAACACGCGAACTTCGATGGTTCTGATCTTCCGACACTGGTGGATTGTGCAGATTCTCACTCGTTCAAACCAACACGGCTCATCGGCAGCAGCAAGGGGATGGCTTTCAAGTAGCTGCCTGCGCTGGTGTTGGAATAACAGCGTGGCAGAAAATCGTGGGAGGCGTGGAGGGTGAAAACGGCTATTCGACAGAAGAACACGCAGTCGGCCTCGCCGCCACGTTATCTGTACTGTGGGATGCCTCCACGAATGTGGACCGAACCCAGTGGCAGACGGACGCAACATCTGCTGCGAGAGGAACTTCTACGGCCATAGCAACTTCTACTGCCAACTCGGTCCCTGCTGCCACCGCCTCATCTGCTGCTGCGTCATCTTCTGCAGCAGCCGTGTCAACTGCCGCCCTCGATGCCCTTGTGACGCTTGCAGCCTCGGTTGCTTGCGTTGCGGTAGAGGCAATGAAGTCGATCAATGATCAAGAGCATGACAAGGAAGCGTGGATTGTGCCCCTGTCGAATGCGCTGCTGAAAGCGCTTCCGGCAGAGTCGCAAGCGGGTGGAGATAAGAAGCGGATGACGAGGGTCGTGGCAAAGGTGGTGACCGCTTGGTGCCTATGCAGCATGGCATCAAGAGGGCTTCGCCAGCACCAGGGCGTCGGCCTCGGAGTCCTGCAGAAGAAATTGGGCAGCCGGGACACTACAACCGGATCGGATAAGGAGAAGAAGACCAGAAAGTCGTCCGCGAAGGGGAAGGCGGCAAAGGAGGCGTCGACGGAAGAGAACACCAGCCCCGGCGTGCAGGAGTGATAGACTGGGCTAGGGTTTTTTGTGGAGCGTATAGGACCGCTGTATAAGTTGTTTTTTTTTCCATGTTTTTGAAATACCCTGTATAAACATTGGTGCTATTGTATCCAAGACCAACATAGCGAATGCTGTGAGCCGCGTATGAATGTAGAAATGCTGGTTAAGCATCACACCATGAACGTGAGCGCGAGCCGAATATTATATTCGCCTTCTACAACACTTGTTCTGCACTTCATACTCCAAAACAACACAATCCCTAGCGACAAATGGTCTTCCACAGCTGATGGCCGAAGCGGAGCCTATGCATACGATGAAAGCCACCATCGCCATTGGTTGGCGACATGTGGTCTTCGACACAGACAGCTGGAAATCCGCAGAGGTTGAAGATCGACGACGTCATCGCCCTACTGTATAGACTACGTATGCGACATTATCACGAATGGGCTACCAGCAACGCATAAAATTTTGTCATTAGGAGTACCTTGGTACGAGTCGTATACGACATCCCTATGCACTAACCATTCTTCTGTGGAGTTTGAATTCATCGACGCCTTATCGTGGCGCTAAATCGTATACTACACTTTACCCCAGAAAAACTTCGTAGAGAACAAATCATCTCATTTGTATAGCGTGTGGCATAAGAACACACATCTACGATTATGAATGTGCCTAGAGAAGATGGAAAACCGCTTAGGCCGAACATCAGAGACCTCAGCGCACAATGCGGTTGAGTAAAAGACTTTTCGGCATCCAATCGCAAAAGCTAACCCTACGCATAAAATCACGTCGCGGATAGGGATCTCCATACTACGAGTACAATATGACACTCCTATGCTCTGGAACATATGCAGAAAGTGAACTGATCGACGCCGATCCGTATAGTAAAATCGTTACCGACACGAGACCGCAGACACAAATCTCCGTGCATAACATCACTGCCGATTTCGGCAACGCGTATCTACAAGTAACAGCCGAAGAGCACGCCGCCACAATGTTGTATGTGACACAACGATATGAGAAACCTAATGCGAGACAAAACCGCATAGACTTCCACAGAGTGCATTTGATATAGCAGAGACCTGGAAAACAATCTACGACAAACACCTTGTACAGAGCAGAAGTGGCATACAAGCCCTAGATGCGGCCTTCTAGATAGACACTAAAGTGCAAATCGTTTTCAAGGAGCAATAGCCACAATTAAACAGCACTAGCCTTAAGCAAAATCCCGCCCCATTTCTGCGCCTAGCGTTTCGACGCATCGCCCTTCGCCTTTTCCAGTTCCGCCTTCTTCGTCACATCGGTTCGTTTTTTCTCCTCTTCCGCCTTCTCCTTAGCCAGTTGTTCCTTGTGGATCTCCTCCCACCTATCATCCCCAAACAGCGATGTTGCCCACTCCTTGTCCCTCAGGCCTTTATTGACTAGCAGCCAGCTCACTTTACATTGCGCCAAGTCGTTGACGGTCCTCTTTTCCGTCGACGAACCGGTTTTTTGTTTCTTGTTGGGCGGAGTCTCTTGAAGCACCGCCAGGCCGTTGGTGAATTCGGTGAAGTTGCACAAGGCGAACACCTCGTCCAGCAGCTTAACGGCCGTTGCGGTCGCCGCCTCGGAGCTGTCTTTTCTTAACGTCACCACGGAGACCATGACACGATGCACGCGACGCATCTTACGCTCGCATGCACCCACAGTCATCGCGGGCTTACCTTTCGGCGCGAACCGGGAATATGCGGTGATGAAGCTGTTGTTCTTGTTCGTATCCCGGCCGAACTCTGCACAGACTTCGGCCAGTGTCTTGCCGCCCATGATCTGGCTTGGCTGCACCCACAGTTTCCAGGTAGCAGCAACAGTTTCGGCTTCGCGCCAAGACACAACGACCACGTAGAAGAAATCTTCCACCGCAACTGGTGCTTTGGATGCGTCCGCTGCCTGGCGTGCACCCCCTTCCGCACTCTTCGACGATCCGTCGACCTCAGCAGAGGCGTTTGCAGCGTCAGCCCTGGCCACAACAGACCTCTTGAAAGCTTCGAACTCGGCCATGAGCCGAGCTTTATCCGCTCGCTCAGCATCGAGTTCCTCCCTCAGCTTCGCGTTCTCCATCGCCAACTGCATTGCACGTCCTCTCAATATCCCAAGATCCTCCCTGAGCATATTGGCGGTGAGATACAGCTTCTGCATCTTCTCCTCGGCGGTCGTGCGAAAGATAGCATCCTGCAGAAACAATACCGTAAGAACTCTGCACAAATGGAAAAATCTGTCTGCCACTAATGGCACACACTTACTGCTTTGGCAGTGGTTTGGGCGGTCGCACGAAGCTTCTCGCCCTCCATGTGAAAGCTAGCGACCAGGTACGCCCACTTTTGGAACAGTGGGTGGTTGCACAGGGGGCTCATCTGCACATATGGATGCCGCTGGCAATTGCACCGCGGGATTCTCACGCCGTGCTGATGGCAGAACGCCCACATCATAGCCAGATCCTGTGCAACAACGAGGCGGCCGACGGTGGCGAGGGTCTCAAGGAACCTCACTCCCGCATAGTGCCTCTTCAGCGGGTCGGTCTGCGCATCGTTCCATGCTTGGGCCTGAGGGGACGAGTAGGCAGGAGAAATGCGACGCTTCATATTCGCGTATAAAAATATATTTGCGAACGCGGTAGTCTACACTCGCACGTACCTTCTTCCAACCCTCCTCGACCCAGGGGAAGATGTAAAGCCTCAAGAGTTCCAGGAGCTGCAACCACTCATCCTTCTCCATATCCTTATGACGCGGAAGCTTAGCGCGGGCTCTGCCGATGTAGTAGTCTCTACGATCTCCGCTGAATCCTGCCAGCAGCCAAACCGGCTTGAACGGAATGCCCATAACATAAGATCTCCGCATCTCCCCCTGCGCCCATCCGCCCAAAGTGCCAATGTTGTTGTCGGAGCAACCGTCGTCATGGAGTATTTGGGCTCCAGATCTGCGGAACGCATGTGTCACCTTGCTCAGAATCCATTCCGCCTTCTTCATGGCCTAGCGAATCCAGGTGCAGTGCGTTTTGTAGTGCATCGCATCTTGCTTCTGCTTTCCCTTGTCACTATTCTTCTTCAAGCAAAAGAAGAGGTGCGCTTTAGTCCACCTGATCGGTTCAGAAAAGTCGAGAGGCTCGACGATACCGGGGCCGTAGCGCAGAGGGACGAGGTCGTAGATGAAATGAAGCCACAGGAAAACATGGCCCATCCCGCAGAGCCGCCAGTCCCTATGCCTTGCAAGAAACTGGTGACTCAGCTTATTGCTGGGGTTGGTCTTCGACTTCCTGGAAACCACGATGAGTACGAAAACGTCCAAAAAGTCGTCGAGGTGTGATGTGCTCCGCGTCATGCGGACAAACATGTTCCCAAGGCGAATCTTTCGAATGCTGCACCCTCTGCCCAGAAATTGGTGACCGAGGTGCATCATTACCGGGACTTGCAGAGCCTTCCAGAGAGGAAGCGAGATTTGTGCCGGAGGCGACCGCCACCAGATCTCTTCGAGTTGTTTCCGCAGAACGGTCAGATGCAGCGTCCTATACTGGCTTGCCGTATAGCAATCGCCAATTGATCCACGGGTTTGATCGCGACCATCTCTGCATAGAATAGCATAGAAATCATGTAAACCATGTAGAGAAACAATAGCAGAAGCAGAAAATACACGTTGAAGTTACTCACGCGACTTGCTCGTCGTCGAGATCCTTCAACTACACTTTGAGCCAATCCCTAGCATTCTTGATCCAGTCCTTGGTCAGTGTGATGGAGAAGCCGTAGAGCCTCGCCTCGCATCTGGCAAGGCATCCCATCGCGTTCATCTTTGCCTTGATCATTGAAGCCGTGCTCCCCTTTAGCCCCTTCCCCACATATTTGTCAACGTCTGGCCGGATTTTTCTACGCAAAATCTTTGCCTGAGCGTCTATTTCGCAGAAGAGAAACTCGATGTATCGGCCGAGCCTCCATTCCGTGAGTCGCGGCCCGTGCAGATGAATGTCCCACTCGTCAGAGATGCACGACCACCCATCATTTCCCAAGTTGTTGTTCAGAAGAAACCCAACCTCGTCGTGCAGAGAGGGAGCCAGCCTATCGGCCACAGGGACATCCACCATCGTTGCCATGAAGATTATCACCCACCACTTGAAGTGTAGAAAGTGGAAACAATAGTGCCTTCTCGTTTCGTGCTCTATCAGTCGAAGCGGGATTGTTGAACGCCGGATCCTGCTCTCCTTCTCCGCAACCTCGGCCTGCCGCTGCGCATTTCCGGCGGCCGCACCCTGCTCGACATGGCTCGCAGATTCGACTTGACGTACATGGCTCGCAGAAATGACTGGACGTCCTCGTCGCGATGATTCTCCCTCTTCTTCTGCGTCAGAATGATCTTTATCCTCGTCGTACCTTTCTTCGGGCTCACCGGGTCGTGGGCGCACTCCATCGGCTCCCGGACCTCCACTCCCCTCACTCTCCTCGACTTCAATCCGGATGGATGGTTCGTATAGACCACCCTGAAACAAATCTTCGTCGGTCGTTTCAAACTCGCGATCGTTCTCGCGATCCTGTGCGTAGTCTTGGTCGGTATCTTCTTCGTCCTCCAGGTCTTCTTCTCCATCCTCTGCGTTCTGGACAGACTTAGGGCGAGGCTCTACCGTTGCGTCGGCCATTTAAAGATTCCTAATTTTTTTCGCTGGCCACCGAGACTAGACGAAAGATTCGGGATGTGTCAGCCACAGTAGGTGGTAAGGATTCGCGAGTGCGCAGATAACTTTGGCAGAATGCATAGTGGGCTAACTGCAGAACCTTTAAGAGTATCTGTGCTTCAGACGTCTGCACAATGGTCTAAGAACGCGTCCATCCATAAATCTATCTGCGCCGAGAAGTTGCGTGTAGAGAATCGCCTGAATGTCTCGGACTGTATATCCCGGCACCGTATGTTCTACCGCTATAATTCCCTACAAGGAATCAACAATAACGATTTCCTAAAATTATACTGATCTAGTTATCCACCCGAACCTTATGCTTGTACATGCTGATCCACAGTAGGTGGAAAGGATTCGCAGGTATGCATATAAATATAGCAGATTGCATAGTTGGCTAAGCGCAGAAGCCTTCATAGTGTCTGTGCTTCAAACGTCTGCGCATTAGTCTATGATCGCCGCCTACAACTTGCGTATAGAAATATCTGCGCCCACAACTTGCGTATAGAGAGTCGCCTGAATGACGTGTACCGTATAATTCTGCCCCATAGTGTTCTACCGCATCCAATTTCTACAGCGATCCATTGAAAACAAGTTCCGATTATTCCACCGACAGAAACATCTACGGAACCTCTATGCTTGTAGATAACCTTGGTAACTTCGACAATAAAAAGGATTGGGAGCGCCGACTTCTACCGAAACATATCACCTCGTCTAGAATTCTCGGCGGCTATTAACGCGGTCGACAACTACAATTGATTTGCTCGAAAACATTCAGTCCCCTACTGACAATATAGTCTACCACATACATCTGCGCCTACATAAGCGACCAAACAATTGTGACTGAATATATTCTAGCTGGGCTGACCAAAAAAAAAAAAAGTAAACGCACTCTATACAACCTACGTCACTACGTCGAGGACGCCAGTGTTCTGACATTGGGTCCAGCAGGCCTACAAGACGACGCTGGTGGACTAACAGGTGCAGGTTGAAAAGATCTCAAACAGCTTGCGGAGCATGAAATGCAAATGAGAAGGAGCAAATGAGCACAAAAACATCCCTTCATACCCATTCACCACACACACCAGCTTGTGTCCAGATCTGGTCATCCAACCCTGGGTTGGAAGTTTCTCCCGCCAAAAAAAAAAAAACCATGGAGATGGTTCCCAATTCAACGCTTATTGGCTCCACCAGCTTTGGGACTCTGACAAAAACTGTTGCCATGGCCACGTGTGCAGTACACCTAGTCTTGGTAAACAATGACTATAAAACACAAAGAGCAATGGTGTAAATCAACACACAGGCTGCAGCTTTAAGGTGGCAACCACACAAAAGTTCAACTTAAAGCATAAAACGACGCAGAGACGGTCAAGTTGTCGCAACCGGCATTGCGACCGACAATCGTCAATTGTCGGCCAAATAGTTACGATGGCAAAAAATGTCCTTCGCGACCACCATCACTCGCATATAGGGTCACGGGCAGGTTTGTTGAGACACAGTTTTCACGGTCAGGTGGGCGCGGAACCGTGGACGACTAGCCTTGTCGTATGCGGCGGAGCCTTGCGCCCAAGCCCTTCGGAATCCGCATCACACGGATCCAAGGCCTCGGACCCTGAGGCAAACGCACTCGGAACTCCGCCACAAGTTGGTCAGAGTCCCCCTAAAATGACCCTTGGATTTAGGGTGCTTCAGCGGGAGTGGCTTGGATCCGTCTGTATACAAACGAAGCGCGTTACAGTCACACCTGGTAGCTGGGCGGAATGTTCTTGAAACGAGCAGAATATTTCGCTTGGTGTTCGCGCACGTCGCCACTAGCATAAGGTGATTGTAGGGTTGCATGGTTGTAACATGTTTAACTTTTCCCAGGTACTGTGGACCAGCGTCCGTTGTTGTTTGTGCATGTTCCCAGTTACCATGAAAGCCATCAGTGGCTTCGCGCTGTTGAAGGAAATTGGCCCCGCCCTCGCATGGGCAAATTGACTTGTGGTCGGGTGTGTGGGAGGTGCAGCCGACCTTCCGCAGAGGTCGACGAAGGTGGTCGTCGACCTGCGCGGAACCACTGTGACTTCGTCGACAAAGGAGTTCGACGAAGGAGTTCAACGAGGGTGGTCGTCCAGAGTGGCGCAGCTGGTGCAGAAGTTCGCGGGTGTCCGTCTGCGCAGGGTCGCGTTTGACCTTGCGCAACATTGAGACTACACAGGGGAATTTTGGCCAGAAATTCGAATGTGCCCTAATTTCGACCAATCAGGGGCTGACATTTTGAAATGTCGACCGAGGTGCTCGACGAAGGTGCTCGACGAAGGTCGTCGAGCCCCGACGACGAAGGTCGTCGACCCGCGACGACGAAGGTCGTCAACCGGTGATGACGAAGGTCATCGTCCTGCAGAGTTGCCAGAAACCTTTCCTGGTTGACCAAGTTACCTGCTCGACGAGGTGCGCGAAGGTGCGCGAACGTCGTCGAGGCTGCTGTGGCGAAGTCGACTGACGTGGCAGCACGTGGTCGACGTGGCTCGTCAGGTGCAACCGTCAGCATGTGGCTGACAACCTGCGCAATGTGTGTGACAGTGCACGTCGTGCATAACTGTCTACAAGCACCTGCGAAGTAGGTGCTTGCACATGCGCTTACAATCACCTGGTGCAGTGTTGGCAAGCCGCGCGGATGCTGCGTTGGCAAGCCGCGCGGATGCAGCGTTGGCAGGCCGCCATTCTGCAGCGTTGGCAAGTCGCACACCAACTGCATTGGCGGGCCGTGGAGATGCTGCGTTGGCAGGTCGTCAACTTTGTCGTGCTGGCGATCGACCTGCCTGAGTGCTAGCAAACCTTGCATGTGATGTAGTCAATCTTTGCCATTGCATGTTCATTCTGAACTCTGTTATTCTCAACTTTCCTTAGTGAAACTCTTGCTGTTTTGCCCTGTGAAAACACAAGTCCTAGAGAACACAGACAGAGCTATGATCACTCCTACAACCAGTGCCCATCCTATAGTCTAGCTCCCACCGTTGTAGAGTTTATCTCCTCATGGTGCGGTGAGCGTGGAACGAACACGCGACCTTCAGATAGGAGCCGACTTTTGCACCTACTAAGTCGTTCGTAGGCCGGCAGCAGCGTTAGTCGCCATGGTCGACCCCGTTGTAGAAGCGGGTGTAGCGGACACCTTGGAGACACGATTAGCTAATGCGAGGAGACGCCACGAGGCTGGCGAGTAAGGGACGATCCCCTTGGCGATCGTTGAATTGGGCATCCGGGCGCAGTGGGCGACGGAGCACCCTTCCCGTCCTGCATCTCCTCGACCGGTGCGAAACGAAGGAGGCGTCGACGAGGAGGTCGACGACGGTGCACGAGTCAATGACAATGAGGGCACAAGGCAGATAGGAGTGTTCAGGTCTGCCGACGGTGGTGTTGGCGGGAGTCAAGCGCGAGTGCAGCGGTCGACGGCGGCTGCAGGCAACTCGCGTGTCGACGTTGATGGTCGACGACGCTCTCCTCAACGAAGCAGTGGAAGTCCCTCGGCGACAACGCATGTGACGGCTGGCGGGATCGCGCCGACGTATGGCTACTTCAAGTTTTCGCCGGACAAGATCACCGTCACACCGTTGCAAGGTCGACGTGACCTCATCACCTGGAGGGAGTCGATTGAACCTCAGCTGGAGGTCGCCGGGCTGAAAGGCTTTGCCGACGGTACTGTGCCAATTCCGCACGAGGACGATGTCGAGCTGCGCGGGGAGTTTCGTGCTGCTCA